TGTGGTGCTCGGTTGCCGACTGGGGCTAAACCACAACAGAAGTGTATAAAAATAATTAAGTCAGACTGATTTAAAAATGATTCTGCACCAGTGAACGTGGACAAATGCAATATTTTATCTGTGGGGACATTTAACGACAGAATGGTTAAAGGCGGCTAACCTCTAAGTAGCTGACAAAGTATGCATAGAGCGTATGCACACATACACACAGTGCTGCTTATACCAATGCAGTTAGCAGATTTTGAGGCACTGTTAAGTGGAGGAAGCAGTACAAGGTGTAAAACCAGAAAATTAGCAAATGAAAATTTCTTGGACATTTAGATTAACACATCTATACAAGTTCCAGAAACACCCAATTGCTGTACCTCAGAATGTAAGCCGATCATCAGAAATTAATCCCCCTCACAACTAAGTAGATATGTTACGCTGATTTTCCTTTAATGTATAAAACCAATGTGAGAGATCAGAGCCAGCACTCAGCAGATTACCTGGGTCACATAAGCTTGTTCATTCACATTCATCTTTTCCTAGAAAGATCCCATTAGCAAAGAAGGCTAAATGTTTTCTTGCATGATTAACTGTAGAGACCTTCTCTTACAAGCCATGACTAGCTGCAGAAATGCAGCACAGTTTTTTGTACTGGTTTTGACTGGGATAGAGTTAATTTTTTTTTTTTTTTTTTTTTTTTTTTGTAGTAGCTCGTATGGTATGAATCATCCTAAAGAACAGCAGAGGAAGAAGGAAAGTAGGATCTCTGGCATGTCTCCCCTTTTATACACAGATAAGGACTAAACAACTAGAGAGGGCTATGAAGTGGGCAGACTCTTGATCCACCCTCTCCATTCTCTTTCTATGCCATCTGAGCATTTAAACTGTGCTGGTCAGAGGCGAGGAAGAATTCAACACATAATTGTATTCAAAGCTCCATTTTCCTTCCTAACGTGACTCACAAAGCATTGACCCTTCTTATGGACCCCCAAGTGAAATCTTACTCCTCTACGTTGGGCACATATAGAATAGACTGGAACACAGGTAGTTCAGACTATTGTTCAAATGATTTGCACATGCACTAAAAAGGCGGTTCTGCAAGAGATATCACTGACTTTGACTTCTCAGACTCTGCACACACTTTGCAAAATGAGAAAAAATTAGTTCCAAGCTTTTGAAAAAGAACATGCACCCCTGTCTCTGTAAACAACCTGATTTTCAAGATGCGTTCAATGAACGTGGCCTATTTTTTATTGATTGGTTGGTTTGGGTTTGGGTTTTTTTTTTCCTTAATGGCTTAAATGTGAAATTAACTTAGAGCTGGGGCACATGAATAGCTAAAAGCTTGTTTCAAACTATCTCTAATTATAGGGCTTGTCTAGATATTACAGTGCATTAGCCTGGTTGAACTAATACATAATCTGATGAAACAACAATTACTCTTCTTAAGTCTTTATAGTACCCTTTATCTTGCTGACAGTGAATGCTCCAATGGGAAAAGCACTACTTAATGGTGTCCTGAAAATAAAAATGAATTTTACCTGACAACCTCTTACCACATGCTTTGGAAAAGAAGATATCACAGAAAAGCATGGATCAAAATAAAAGCCACAAAGGAGTGTTTGCAATTATCCACAATGCAAGACTCAGCTCAGGAAAACACTTATGCAGGAGCAGGATGTCAGTGGGGCTTAAGTGAGGGTGTAGGACACAGTTCTATCCTTGGCTTTATCTCTGGACAGAATCACAGCTTCTAAAGAACTCCTACTGCCACTGGTATTAACAGCTCTCCCTGAAGTCAAGCCTTCTGTCTCATCTCACATTATTTTCATTAAGGTAATTATCTTTACAATAAACTGGCCTGGGGACCAGAATTATCATTGGAGTGTCATCCCCTAGAACTCCCATCAGTGTGCCGATTTCTGCTTTTATGCCTTAGTGTGCCACTTCCTCAGTTGTGGTAGCACAACTAGTTGAAAGGCAGCAGTATAAAACAGTTTTCTAAGCTCATCAGGGTTAACAAATAGCTTTTACTTTAAGTATGGGGAAGGATTTTACACCTGGCTCTTCTCACAGGCCCACAAGCACAGGTAGAGTGAGCGGCAAGATGCAACCACAAGTGAAGAAACACGTTCACTTGGGAGCATTTGGGCTTTGACCCAGTTTTGCCATCAAAGATACTTCTCCAGATTTGGAGACCTGGGGTTCAAGAGAGCCTTGGACAGAGTCTCTGTCATGTGAGTGGTAACTTAATAAAAATATGCTGATCAAACACATGCACACTGTCATGCTCTAATGGTTAATACAAAGAGGGTCCCAGATCCAGAGTCATCCCTACGCTGGCTCATTAGAGATAAGAGGCGGGCCAAGCACTCACTCCTGCAAGTTCAATAAAATGGGTACTCCTGTGTGATGGGCGGTCACTCAGCAGTGACTATGGCTCAGAGCAGTAGTAGCCCACAGGGCTTAGCTCTCAGCCCCAAGGATTGGGGTCTTTCTGCAGTCACAAACAGAAATCACTGGACCGGATTTCAGGTTGAGTCACTTGAAGGCAGAAAGCCTAGAGGGGTAGGTAGCTATGATGCTTATGCAGAAAAGAAGCAAGAAGTTTCTGGACCACAGAGCATCCTGGAACTGCACACTCTGAACAAGGAGCCTATCTGCTGTTTCTCACCTCCTTCAGCATTTAGGGAAACCAGCTTTCATTTTTCTTTTTTTGGCAAACACCTTTTGCAAACACCTGACTCGACAATATCAGGTACGACACTTGACCCATAACACTTCCTTCAAACAACAGTAAGAACACCCTGTACAAGACCTCAAACATGGGCTAAACCACACAGACCAGTAGGGCAACAGTCATTAAACAGGCAAAAAGGCAATCTTCCTGATCCTTATAATCCTGTTAAGCTCTCAGGAAACACATTTAAGGTTTTTTCGGCCATTACTTTCTTAAGGCCCTTTCTTAAGGCTCTTCTTCTGCCTTATTCATTCTATTTTATTTTTCTCCCTCCTTTTACCAAGCAGCGAGTAGTGCAAGTTAAATGTGTGCAAAACCACCCAAATCTTTCAGAAACCCTATGCTTTTTATGTCAAGACACCATCAAGTGCTGCAATACATTCAATCTTTTTTTTTCCATAGAGGGGGATGCGG